GTCTTCCTTAATTATAAATAAACCGACACATTATTAGCTTTCCAATTAAAAGATTAAAAATAAATAGAATCAGTAAAGAGACATTTAGAATGCGAAGAGACCAGTTAATCAAAGATTTAAAAAATTAGAAAAGAAATTCCAAGCTCGCAATAAAATTCAAATAAAGATATATAATCGAGATAAATAAATTTATTTTAATAAATTTAATAAACTTTTAATAAACTTATCGTATTGAATCTCTTTTTCTATTTTTTAAATGATTTGTATCATTCAAACTAATTTTTCTTTAAAAGTTCAAATGTGACTATCACTAAATGTCATTTGATATTTCGTCAATATAAGGATAACAAAAATTAAAAAGTGACATTCATAAAAGAAAAATCAAATTAATATAGTGCAATAACCTTACGGGTTCAATCACATCCACGAATCTCCTTTTTAATTCCACGCGAGAAGAGCAAAAGTATAGAAAACCCATGTTTATCGTAACTCTTTGCGGTCGTATGTCCGAGTGGAATTGCACGCTGCATCGTCACGATATCGCAACTTTGAAACAAATGTCCAATTATTCATTCCTTAGCTCGATTATTCATTTGGTCGCCGATGTTTTTGCGAGCGAAATTGGCACGTATCACGGAAAACTCTTTCCTTCGCGGAAGTTTATTTCGAGAATAATCACAAGGTACGCACTTTGTCCGTGTATCTCCTCGCTCGAATCGCGCAGGTGCAAATCTTATAGGCTTTTCGCAAATATAGATATAGATATAGATGCCCGCGAGTTTCATTGGCAGGCGATTTCCCAGCGAAAAGAAAGACGCGCCGCCGTCTTGTCGCGATCCGATTCCAGTTCGACCTTGCTTTGAGATTCAGTCTTCGTCGCATTTCAATCTTCAATCAGAAAATGGTATCCGACGAATCGTTCGCGAGTGTCATCCGGGCGAATGTCGCCTTGCTGAGATTATCCGGCGTGGTATCGTACAAGAATGGAAATATCCGGCAAACAAAATCGCAGAACGTTCTCGTCGCGATCGCTTACGGTTGTCTCTTCGCATACGCAATCTTATACACATACGAATTCGCGTTGCATACCGTCTACCTCGACACTTGGATGGAGTCATTCGCGATGATACTCTCCCTCGTGGGTGGGCAAGCGCGGTTCACGTTCGTTCTCTTATTCCGTAGCAGGTTTCAGCGATTGCTAATGATCTGCGAGAAACTTTGGATGGCATTAAACGCGACCGAGAAAAGGTGCGTGCGCGATTACGTGAAAGCAACGAGACGTCTGACCTATTATTATCTATTTGGATGTGCCTTCACGATTTTTTTCTATGCCGTCGCGAGTCTCTTTATGGGACAGCACGACGATTCGTCGAACACGACAATGAGAACCTTGCCATACGCCTGTCCGGTCCAGGTTCATCGGTCACCCTATTATGAAATAATGTACATTCTGCAATTGAGTAGTATGATCAACGTTGGTCTCACCTGCGCCGCTGCAGATACCCTCGGACCAGTGCTCATCTTGACCGTTTGCGGCCACTTCAAGGTCCTCAATTCGCGAATCTTGTGTCTCAGCAATCGCGACCGGGTATATTCGGAAAGCTCGTGTCCAACGTCTGCTGAATTCCTCGAGATAACCCATGGTGTATCGACAAATCGTGCGAAATCTGATCTTGAAGCCTGCGTACACTATCATCAAACGGTACTCGAGTATGTAGAGGGGAGAAGGCAGATGATTTTGCTAAAAAATAAAGGGGGCGATTAAGCCGTCAAATTTTTTAAATGCCTTAAATTTTTCTTTTTACAAAAATAACTCGACAACTCAAACGTTTGATATTATTCGAATAGATTTTGCAATGAAGTTGAGAAACTCACCAATGGCATCTTTTTAACGCAGCTTCTCAGTAGTACGTACAACGTCTCCCTTGTAGGATTTAAATTAGCGGGGGTAAGAGAGTTCAAATTATTTTCCTTTCTACGTATTATCAATCATTTCTTCTTACAGTTTCGTGAATGAATTTTGCTTCAATCTTATGATTTCGGGTGATTCTGAAACAAATCATATATGTTTGAAGTGAATCGAAAAATTCTTGAAAAATTTTGTAAATCTTTTTCCTATTAACACTTAAAGCGTAGCAATCTTAAAATTTATTCAATAACACGGGGGAAACATATGTTTAATGTAGAGAGATAACGTACAAAAACATTTTCATCTTTTAAAATCTTTCAAAATTTTGTTGATGTCCATTGTTGATCCATTATTATTTCACTGTGATCAATTGTGAAAACGTGAAGAAAAAAATAAGTTAATTTATATATTCTAGATAAGCATCTCAGAAATTTTCTTATCAGTTGTGTAACGATTACAGGATGATCCCGATAAATTTAAATATGCATCACAATTATTAATTGCTATAATTCAATTGTTTTTATGTAACTGGCCGGCGGATGTTCTTCTCACCGAGGTATGTAGCTAAATTGTGTAATAATTCGAATTTAAAACATAAAAAATGTGATTTTACAATATAAGAATAATTCTATCTTCATCGTTTAATTATTTCTTTTTAAATTCTTTTTAATTATTTTAAAAAATTTTTTAAATGATAGAGAATATTTTAGAATCTAATAAAATCTTCTTTTCCCTCTTTTGGTGTATTGTGTTAGAAATAAATACAAACAGCTACAGGAATCTAAAAAAAAACACTACGTCTTTTTGACATTTATATTTATATTTTATATCTCTCAGTTTTTTTTATTTATATTTATCTTCAAACTTATAATAACACGGTTGAATTATGTTTCAGAGCCAAGACGTAGCCAGAGCGATATATTTTACATCGTGGTATCGCTTTCCGTACCAGCTAAAAAGATCTCTAAATATTATCACGACGAGAGCTCAGAAACCAGCGCAATTGACCGCAGGATATATCGTACCGTTGTCCTTGCCAACTTTTGCATCTGTACGTACATATATTTACATTATACGCGCAAAAATGTGTCTTATCTATTAATCATGATCATTTCACAAGTGATTAGACGTCATATTTTAGATGGTATCATCCGCGGCATCCTTCTTCACTATGATACGCAGTATGAATTGATATTATTTTATCGATGACGTTAAGACGAGATGTTTTGCGTAGAGAATCTATGAAATTGTGTTAACATTTATATGATTATTATGATATTAAAGTTTGTACATGGCTCAAACGAGTAAACGAGCTATTAAAAAAAAATCATAATGCAATCTTTTTATCGCAATCTTTCTCCTAGATATTTACGAAAAAATACTTCAATATACACAGTGAATTGTGAACTATAAAAAAATGAATAATATTTATAATTATTACTATATCTGTATACTTTATTTACGATACTTGATTGCTGTATGCCATTAGAGATAATTAAACGCGACGAGAAACGAAGAATTCATCACAGATACGACAGGCTTTTTCGTGGATTAGCTCTGAATACTATATACTGGTGCTCGTAATGTTGACAACGTGGGAAGATTTAGCTGCGGAGACACTCTCTCCGCGGCTCCGTTACGATTGCTTAAAGTAACGGAGGCAGGCGTTAACCTCCGCGGAAACTAATCCGAAGAAAATGTCGGAGAGAGAAAGGCTTTCGATGTAACTCTTGGCTTAAGTCGAGCATCGATCATTTTCTTTTTCCGTTGCACCCCCGGCACGTACGTGTCGGGAGTTGCCCTGCCGCATCACGAGAAATACGGTTAACAGAGCGCTGTCTATCCTACGAAAGGACGTCTACGTGGCATACGGTGCGCGAATTAAGAAATCAAACGATAGTAAAGTTCAAAACAAGTGTCTCTCTCGAAAGGACATTTCGATGGATTATTACGCTGCGCTTTTAGTTAGTTTCAAATATATATAATATATCTCCCGAAATATATGAAACGCATTTATTAAAAAATCTCCCCCCGAGCAACGATATTTGCGGGGGATCGGCAAGAAGAAGAAGACGTGATAGTCGATAGCGAGGGCAATAGAATTTCTTCGATATTACTGCACTAACGAGCGAGCTTAGCAACTTCTCGCAGAAACGTGGTTTCTTTACTTTTCGGCCAATAAACACCGCTTTGTCGGGATTTGCGCCTTTTGATCGAAACCATATTTACGTAATAAATATACCTCAATAATATTCCGACTAATACATATGTTTAAAAGAATATAGGATGAAAAATATGTTTAATTTACAGCGCTTATGTATATTTATATGTTTACATTTTACCTTTCCATTTATATATTTATCTTACGCTTACAGGTGTATTGTTATTAAATATGTGCCAAGTTTTAAAATATAAATAAATGTTATAGAGTCTATGTGTGTATGTATGTTAACAAGAGACATTTGGTGTTGAACGTGCTGTGAGAATGTGGTTTAAAAATATTCAAGTCGCCGTCGGAATCTGCGGTACGAAAATTTGGGATGGAAAGAAGGTGGAATCGGAGTTCTCGAGGGGCATAAGCAACATAAGCGCGGGCAAAAGTTGAGGAAACGAAGGGAGAAAAAAACTGTGCGAAATGATGCGGTAGATAAACGACAGACTCGTAGATTCGACGTAGGATATCGCGCTTGCGGGCTCATTGCCTTTCATGAGGACGGCAAGAGTGTTCCCAAGACCGATGGTCAATTCCGGATCCCATCCAATTCTTTTTCGTAAAGTGCCGCTGCCCGAACGTGGATTATAAATAAAGATGAAGAACACGGAATAAATGTGACCGAGTAGAAGAAGAGGTGCGATACGTTCTGAAGAACTGCTTTCTTAATTCTCCAGGGGCGCGTGTGGCATATTACATGCCCCATATACCATTGCTTAGATTTCGTCGTCGGTGGGTCTAGAGATATCGAAAAAAGAAGATGCATGTCACCCAGGCTGGTGACCACACCAGCGCATTAAAGTTTCATTTCGACATCTCCACGCAACGACGAAAAGCGTCGTCAAAACTCCTCTCCTCGGAACGCCCTTTGGAAAGGACCGGAGACCGCTTACGTTTCGCGGGCGAATTGAATTAACCTTACGATTGCGTTTTCCAGCAAAACGTTCGCTTCCGTATTAATTATAGCGCGTCTTGAGAGCAGCATCTGCCGGTGACGGCATCGTCTCGTACGAGAAGGTGGCGGGCAAGATGACGGGGTGCCGGGTGCCGGGGACGAGGGAGGAACGAAAAGGGGAAAAGCTCGGGAAAAGGGGGGAGGAGGGGAGGAAAACCCGGAACCCTCGATGCGGTGGCGCACACAATAAAGAAATTCCATGATTTTCAGCGGGACGATACCGGCCCCGTGTGAGAGCGCGCGTTGTCATCTTCGCATACCATCGTTCGTTCGACGTTGAACGAAACGCGGACTCTTGGAGTTAATGAAATCTATCGGTGCCAAGCAGCGGCGGATCGACATCGTCTTTGGCAGGGCGTGGGATGCTATCCCGTTATCGCTTGAAAAATTAAAATTTACGATCCACGGTGCGCGTTTGTCTCTCTCTCTATCGAGCGCAAAACGAATTTCCTTGTCGTTAAAAAAAAAATTCGATCCTTTTCCCTCTCCCTCAGTATGATAAAAGAAATCTATGCAGCACTTGAAATGATTTGTCATTCGGTTGATTATACTTTTCAATGCGTTATCTATAACGAAGAATTATACGAAAGAGCTTACACGTTTAAACATTTAGTACAATAATTCGGTATTTTCAAGAATGTTATAATTTCGTAATTATTTTTATTTTTATACGTTATTTAAAAAAAAATCAATTTGTTTAGTAGAAAAGGTTAAAATGTATAGTTTTACACGCGCCACGCCCCATTGTGTTGGTGCATCGCGTTTAATTTTTCTCGTCCGATGAAGGGGGAGGAGTGTTAATGATTTTGCGGGATGACGCGATTGAACGGTTAAAGCTTCTCGCGAAATAGCATGTACCATGTACCTCGAAATCGATCGCCAGTTGCCACGAGCAACGTCGCTCGATTAGGCAAACTGTCTCGAAAAAATCGCAGTTCGCAATGTGGCCGAAGCGAACTAAGCGGGAGCCCCTGCCCCCTTCCGATAAAATCATGATTTCTACGTGAGAAGTATCTCGAGGAGTATAACGACGATGTTCCTGGCATATGTAGGTTAAATTCTAAAATTTTCTTTTACGCGTATCTCCTTTTATTCCCCTTCTACACGACATCTGATAATACACGATAGGACTCGATGAACGAGATTAGGGGTTTTTTAAAATGGACGACGAACGAAATATATTCGAGCGGACTAAACCACCCGATCAGTCGCTATCACGTCGCGGGAATTAAATTCGCGACAAGACGCGTCGACTGTCTTCGTGGCGAAGATCTTCGGAGCCGGAGACACACCGAGTCCGGATCGTAACTCGCGACATCCCCGTGTATTTGCAGGTAGTGTCGACTCATTGAATTCTATTCATCGAGCAGCCGAGTTGCGCATCATTCAATTACGCGTTTTCTCTCAGCATCGTCCCTCCCTATCTCGAGGAGACAAGTCTTTCCTAGCTCCTCAATTTCCGCACAATGCATTATTTGGCACCTATTGTGCGCGATGACGCTCGTGCATTTTACCGTGCCAGTTATCGGAGATTATATACAATAATTAATACGTTTACATTGTAGAAATTCTTTAATTTAAAAGCAAATACATTCTATTAACGTATGTTTATTTCTGTATGTGTTTGCGAGAGATTTTATGTTAAACATTTAATGTTATTTAATTATATTAAGATACTATAAGATTAATTTTTTTACTTTTTTACTATATAGGTTTTACCGAATGATAGCCGATTATAGAAGATTTATTCAACGAGTCGACGAAAAGATGTATCTAGTTTGATCATTTTATATATCCAGAGAATTTATAACGGTGCTACGAAACTATTATCATCGACAGAATAGTGATAAAAAAAAGTTACGAGTAAGGAACATCGTCGTTTGCTCCTCGTCATCATTGATTGTGAAATTGTAGATCGTAATAATGAAGTCCTACTAAAATAAGTAAACTCAAGTTGATTTTTTATCAAGATTATCAAGTCAATAAACCCCAAAGTAGAACAAACTCCTAGGGGGGGCTTTAATTTTTTTTATGCTCCTAAATATACAAAAAATAATTCTTTTTGGTATCAAAAATCATATAATGTACTTTACAATGTAAATGCACATTTCATTTCCTTCACATATTCACGAAAATATAAACTTAGAAAATATTATCTGCGCTTTTATTTATGCTTAATCATATTATAACATATATCAAAAATATATTTATCGAAGGATTATAATTACGATAAATAATTAAGTTTTCCGCGTCAATTTAAACGCTAGAATCATTAACTAGAAATAGTTAGCCAAGATTGCTGACGAAGTTGACCCTAGGCAATTTTAAATTCACTTTCTCTTGGATGTGCTCTCGTTTAATAATCTCGAAGGTAATCTCTAGATTCCTTCATCTCGCTGTTAATCATCCATCTATTCGTGTGTAAAACCGCATGGCTAAAACCGATTACCGGCGGTTTCTTTAGCAACAAGTTGCACCTCGTGTGTTTTCCTCGAAGTTTCCTAAAATCAACAAGTGAACCCGCTTCCTGCCTGGAATTTCTATATTGCTTTCTCGTTCGACTCCACAGGTGGCAAACTGACAACGAGAACGACTTTCCGGAGAACCCCTCCTTACGCGAAGAGAAAATTGACTTTATTTGCCTGCCTTAACAATCGCAACACTCCCGCGGGAAGGACATTCGTTTATGATAATTGAGATCACTGAAGGCTTTATTCGGCTAATACGCGATAATATACGCGACGCGACACAATAACGATGGATTATATCGGCACTATCTTTGTTTCTGGAATGCGTGATAACAGTCGTTTTAATAAAGAGCCGACAATGAAGAGGCGTTGAGAACTCATATAGAGAATTCTTCGCGATCTTTGCATTCCTTTGGAGTCTCGAAGTAAATTCCGCATGGTTCGTGCAATTCCTAGACGGTTAAAGTCAAGGGGGGAATCTTGATTACGTTCGCATATTCCGTATTAAGGCTAAAATTATAAGGCGCATCCATCTTTTTTTTACAAGCTTTTAAAACAATTTTAATTCGCGTTGTACTCGACAGAATCAAAGTTTGAGAATAAGTTGGATCTAAAATTAAATAAACTAAACTTTCATCCCTTTTGAAACCTTCTCCAAGCGATCTCGATTCGTTATATTTTTGACACAGCTAAAAAGAACGAAAGCAAGTTATTTCAAAAATTATTTTCACGTAACATCGTAAATCATTTCGATGATGAAGTAACGCTATAAAATCGAATCTCATGGTCCGTATTGATATGAAAAAAGGAAAAAATGAAAAGCTGCATATAGGTAGTGTCAATTTCATTGAAAACTGACAGATTTAGAAAGAGGTGGAGAGTAGATGATGTAGAGACAATAGCGCCTCGGGGGGCGTCGACAATCGCCTCGATGGAGGGAGACGAATGACCAGAATAATGTTGAAATGGGCCGTGCGAAAGAAAGGAACTCACTGACTGGAGTGGGAAGCAATAAAAACATGAGAAACAACGATATACATAAATTTAGTTATTATTTTGGATAGAGAGAGAGAGAAGAGGAAAAAAAAAAGGAAAGAGAGAGTCGCTTAAAAAGAAAGTGTTATTATGCGTGTTCGTGTTGGGTGTGAATGGGCGTGTGATACGCTCTTTGTATTGTACGCGCATGTGTGTGTAAAAGAGAGAGAGAGAGAGATGTATAGAACGCAGATGGTGGGAGAGAAAAGGAAGAGAGAGAGAGGGACGCAAAGTGCGAAGGGGTGAAAAGCGCGGAACCCAGTGACCATGCGCCCTGTCGGCGGCTGGGGGCTTCTGGATCTTTTCACGGATCAAGAAGAGGACATCGAAGAAGCACGGGAGACGCAGACGGTGGTAGGCAGAGAGAGCGACGGCTCCGAGCCGGCACGAGCGAGGTGAGATGCGCCCTTATCGCTCTCAATCGTCCGTACAATTACCATCGGGGTGCCCCAACACTCCTCGTCAGCCGGGCCGCGATCTCGACGGCTAGCAACGATAGCGGCGATACAGGATCGGAGAACGCTCGCTCCACGGCAGGACCGATCGACGCCGGTGAGTACTTTCTCACAAACATAGCATAAAACAAATAGATGTAGAATATGTGCAAAGTGTTCGAAAAGTAACAATCAAATATTTAAAAAAAACATTTATCAAACATTATTAGCAAATTAGTTTTTTTTCGTCAGAGGCATATCACTCGGAGAGTTGAAGGTTTTCGATAAAAGATTAGACGAGGCTTGTCTGCATGCTCGTGGAGATCACTTTTAACATCTTTTGTGAAAAAAGACTAATTTGCTAATAATGTTTAATAAATGTTTTTTTAAATATTTGAAATTATAATTATTTTACAAACATCCTGCATATATGTATACATACCCTCTCGTAGAATTGACAAACTCAGGACTACATGTTGATAAGAAAAAATGATAATATATACTTCTATTATCTCAACAAAAAAAAAAGTCAGAGAGACAAAATGTTCGCGGATATAATCGAATAATTGTGTGTGTTTCCACTTTAAAAATATATTATGAAAAATTATAATTATTATAGAATACATTCTACGATGAAAACTGTAATGAAACAAAGACTTTTGTTTCTTGGCATTGTTCGGATAATGAAACGGTTGAACGGTATTCGAAGATTCCGAAATAGTTTTATTTATTTGTTTGTCATATTTTTTCGCGCGACGCAAATCATCTGAACACGTAGCAACGTAGATTTAATCGTGAGAAATACGATGGCGATTTACGGTTTATGCTGCGATTTATTGGATGAAGTATATTCTTTCGCTCGATTCGTATAACCGTCGACGCACCGCTTTATCACTTAACGTAACACGCTAGCAACCACGAAAGAATTACTATCCTTGTCTTTAACAGACTGGATATAAGAACATTGAAGATTTTTGCAGAGAAAAAAGATTATGTAAAATTTTAAAACTTTTCACTCTTTAACGCGCTAAAATTTAAAAAAATCTTATTAGTAATAATTACTATCTTGCAAATATTACGTCTAGTTTGTATGGTTTAATTACTTAAAACGGTAGAGAGCAAGATTTAAATGGTTATATAGGCAATTTTTGCTACTGTTAAATATTGATTAATTAACTTTGTTATATCGCGTTTAAATCGCACGACAAATATAATACATCCAAATAAGTTAATATACAAATTACTAATCAAAACACAGATATTTCATTGACCAATTATAATTAATAAATATTTTATAAAATGGCATTGCCATTAGCTCTCTTGATCATATAAGTTATCAGTAATATGCTAATTTATATACGCATATAATCAATAATTTTCGTAGATTAAACGGTAAAGTTTGATTTTTGGCAAACTTGTCTTTAAAAGAGAGATTTTTAAAACAAAAAGAAAAAAATGTGCATATTGCAGAATTTCTTGTAAAATAATATAGATATATTATAAGTATCATAAAATTAATATAATATGTTTCATTTAGTTAATGTCAGTTGATTCCTTAACTGATTCCTTAATTTAAAGTCCACGATTTTCAAGAAAAATAGAAAAAATTATAAAATTGATTGCACCTGATCTACATGTCAATACCATCGGTCAATACCATCTATGACCATTATATCAACGTGTTAGGCAGTATTATTCATCTGCCAGATTCGTTTACGGAGTCTTCAGACTCGTTAACACGTCACCGAGGTGTCCGAAACACTTCTGCTATCCCTTAGTCACGTAATACCGGATTTCCTGATCGTGATCCGCGGCCATAGAACAAATGCCCTCATTTCCACGTGTCATCCGCAGTCTCTCGCACTGATCTTTCTCGGTGAGTTCGCGTCAAAGTGCAGTCGGATCGAGAGGGTTGGCGAAGGGTGAATTGCAAAAGGTACGGGTTCTCGCGCGGATTGCCGGGAGCAAGAGTCGTTTTCCCGGAGGCTGTTGTTTCTCCGACTCCGTCATTTCACGGAAAATATGTCTTCTCGACGCGTCCGCTTTGAAATTTAAAATTGAACGTTCAATCCTTGATAAGAATCGCCATTTCTCTCATCGGCGTATAATGCGCTAACAGTTTCACGTATTTACTGTAAATCGTAAAATTTACAAGGATGACGACTTAAAGCAGAATAGCGACTGGGAGAATCGTAAGGGTCGAACGTCGCAAGGGCGAGACGAAAAGACGATATCCTTGTCTCTCGTTGTCGCCTGGCTTCTGAAACAGGAACAGCCAGTGGGAGGGTTGGAATTGCAACCTCGTAAGGTTAATAGAGTGATCGGTAACAAGGTTATAAAGCAATCTGCATAACCCTGTCCAGTACTTTACCCGACCTACGGGTTTCATGTTACTACGGGCGGTGTCGTAATTACTGTCTCTAATGCGATTACCGGATCGACAAGACCGGTAACCGAGAAATACTCTCTGTGAAATCTTTTTCTGTTTTTTCGGTTTTTAATTGCTTCTCGTTTTTTTTTCTTCTACTAATTACTTCTTTCTTTCGGAAAAATTTATTAATTGAAAAATATAAAGAATCGGTACGTCCTCGAATCGAATCGTCTTTTTTGCTTTTAAGTACGACTATTTCTTTACGTTTCTACTGGAAGACAGGAGTTAATCCAAAACAATATTACCATCAAATATATCTCATATTAATTTAATATAGTATTTCAACGTATTAATCTAAATAGACGATTAAAAAAAAAAAATAAAAATAAAGCTTGAAGCTATTTGAAAGTTTCTATTTTTTAAGAAAATTAATTTTGAGAATTGAAGAAGATATTTTTAATAATATTTAGAGACTATATATAAAATTTTACATTTTTAAATGACTATATAGCAATAAAGCAAACGCATCATGTATTGAGTTATTCGCGATTCATCTGATTTGGCAGAGACTTATCAGGAAAGAAGCGATAGACGGAATAGCGGTAAATTCATTTACGCACGATCGAAGACGTAATTTTATTTCCAGAGGATTCCGTCTCTGACCTCGTCTCGTCTAAAGTCTCGTTTCACGGCTATCTGAGTTTGATTTACATCCTCATAGTCGCATTTCGACACGTAGCGGAAAAAACGTAACGCATTACCTATATTACCTATTTTGCCTTTAATTTTGCGAGTAACTAAATTAAAATTTATCTATAAAGCGATACGAGATCTCTTCACACACACGCGGACGTTTTCCTTTAAACCCCGAAGATTTTCAAGATACTGGCGATTAATTAAAAAAAAAAACTTTTTCTATTTTTTCTTTTTATTTTCTTTTTGTTTATTTTAACGCGAATGTTATCTCGTAAAAAGTAATGTATGATAATGCTGCAGGATCTAGAATGCGAAAGAGATATTCTTTACAAAAAGAATATAGTATTGGTATTCGAATTCTTTCTAGATACATGATTTCATTGAACGGCAGAAATATATCGGGCGATTTATCCCAATGCTATATTGGACAGTTTGATTGTTTCTTTAGTAAAAGTTGCGAAAAATCAGTATTGAAAATGCACGAGAAGCATGTTCAGTCTGTAAAAATGGTTTTTCTTTTATACGAAAAGAGTAAATCATATATACCGACATAAGCAGAGTTGTAGACGATAAATTGGGTTCCCTAATTGAGCCGATTATGAACTCGATTTTCTTCCTTTAATTTGCAATTCTACGTTTTGCCAGCAATAATCAGCCAGAGTACAGAATAGATTAATTTTGACATTTTACGATAAAATTTATTTATGTGAAATTATCTGACAATTAATTTTTATATTAAGATTTATTTATCATAAATTTTTTTCTATATTAAAAGAAAGAAATAAGATTGACAAAACATATTTCTACGTTCAAACAATCGGTTGACAATTGCTAGATATTATTCAGATATAGTTAATATGATGTAATAATGTACATAAAATTTATTAAAATATTATTATGTTTAAATATATACATTATTTATCAGATATTTTTTTATTATTGCACTAAAGTACAATTATAAATGGCAATTGTCCCAAGAAATGTTATCATAAGTTGAAATAAATACATCGAGATGCAAAAGATATACGTTTAATCTTATTACAATCTCGTATAATAATTATACAGAGTGTCTCAGAAATTTCTTTTGATTTAATAAGTTTGAATATTTTCTTATATAAGTTTGAGTGGACCATCTCCCAGAATCGCTTAATTTTTCACATCAATTCAATTTTAGATTAAATCTGTGTTAAAGTAAAGTATTCTTAAAATAATCTTATAATATTCAAATTTTCTTATCCATTTTTCATACGTTTAAAGTGTTTAATTTTATAGTTTCACTAAAACCCGAAAATAAAATTTACATTGAAATCTATTTTTTATTTCGATTACGATATATCAATAATGCAAGAAAAAGTACAACTTTTTTCTTTTAGAACATCCTATATAAAATATATCAATCTCTACTTAGCAAAGATCCCACCTTACGATGACTTATTTGCATCTCCATCTTTAATTGACAGATGATGCCATTGTTACAATTCAGTTAGCAGTTTGCCGCGACACAGCCGTCGAGACGTGTGTAAAACTTCGTTATTAGAAAATGTGCGTGTAATTTACGATACGCGTTTTGCTTAAAACAAATTCCATTCACCGCGATATAATGACGACGTAAGTAAATTATAATTCAAAATATCGGTATTAACAAACGACGGAGAAGTATATTGCGACAAATATCTATCGTCGTAAAATCGTTTGTCCGTTGTGTTCCACGAGGATAGATCCCAGAAGCCGATAACAAAACTGTAATTTTTTAATTTTTTTTTTACTTTTCATATGAAATCATAAACCCCGCACTCCGTTATTATGTATACTTTAATTATGGAAAAGGATTTGTTGATATCTATAATCAACAAAAATATTTTGCAATCCTACTAATATTCGCATTCTGTCGGTATCCGGCATCCTCTTAACAAACGACGAAGAAGTATTGCGACAAATATCTATCGTCGTAAAATCGTTTGTCCGTTGTGTTCCACGAGGATAGATCCGCGTTAATATACTCGAGTTAATTTTGCGCACAAAGTTGGAGATATATTCTTGAATCGGGACCA